ATTATTCTTAACCGGCAATAGAAAACAAATTGTTTACTGTTGCCTTTTCAACAGATCTGAGTGTTGGGGTAAAATCCCAAATAATAATGGTGGGTCTGGTGTCAAAATATTGAATGTAATCAAAGTGGAGAGAGTGTATTGTGGAAATCATCTACCCCACAGGTAGGGAGGGTGTGGGATGGGGGTATACTGGGGTTTTGGGTAGTGGAAAATGGGCACTGGTGAAGGTTACTGGTATTTCATTGTATGACTGAGACTTAAACGTGAAAGCTATGTAACTGCTCTCATGGTTATTCAATAAATAAAATTAGAAAAAATGAAAAAAAAGTAAGGTGGAGTTCATGCCCAATTCAATCAGCTAATCAATGGCTGAATAAATAGCAGTACTCCTACATAAATATATATATATTATTATATATATATATCCAATATTGGGCTGGAGCAATAGCACAGCAGGTAAGGCATTTCCCTTGCACGCAGCCAACATGGCCGGGCCGAGTTCGATTCCTCTGCCCCTCTCAGAGAGTCTGGCAACATTATAGAGGTGAGATGAATTAATAAGCGGCAGAGACACTGATGAAGAACATTTTTTCTTTTGGTACGATGGGGTAGGGTTGGACCCACATGCAGCTGTGCTCCTGATTCTGTATCAGGGATCACTCCTGTCAGGGATTGGGGGTCCATAGGTGGAACTGGGGATCAAACTCTGGTGGGCTGCATGGTGGGCGGCCCACTGACCTGCGGCACTCTCTTCAACCTTCAGTTGCTTTGGCCTCAAAGATCATGTTGGCTGACCCAGAAAACTTCCTGTCTCACATGGAAGTATAACCTGAACCTTTGCTCAGCCAAGATGTAGGAATTGCTGGGGCTCCACCAAGGACACTGACCCGTTTTGTCTCTTCCCAGTTTACTCTGCCAAATTAAAGAAAGCTCTTCTGAACTTGACATAAAGGAATAAACAAAAAATATTTCAGAATGTTCAGGGCTACAGAAAGTAAGAAGAGTGCTTTCTCTGCGCTCTACCAGGAGTAGATGAAGGCTCAAAGAAAAAGTTCCTCTCCTGTACCATTTCTATATGTTTTCTATCTCTACTCCTTAGCTAATTCTATGATTTGTCTGTCCCTCATGTTGATAACTTTTAAAATGATCAGCTAAATGATCTAGATGTCCTGGTGCCCCTCCCTATCTCCTTCCCCCTTCCCCATAACAATAGGATATTCAGTAAGTGGGAGGAACAGATGTTCAAGAGAGGATTTGGGTTCCTCCAAAGGGGAGAGAGCCGAGGGTACCCTATTAAGTAAAAGAAAGGAATTGCACATTCCAAGTTGAAATACAGGTAAGTCCCAGAATGGCAAGTGTCTCACAAAGTGGATTCTCTTGCTGGATCCTGGAGTGAAGAAGGACTCCTGAATCCTAGGATACTAATGATGAATTCTTGTACCTGGGCTGAGACATTTAAGATAAGCTCAAGAACTGGAGCACATAACACAACCACATGAAATGGCAAATATCAGAGGCAATTCATGGCATCCACATGACAACATCCCAGAGCGTTGTCATGGTCTTTAAGGACATCCATTTATGTAAAGCACTTGGAAATGTAGTTTAATACCATTAACTGCAAGTTAATGTATTTCACAGGATTGGTTGAGGATAAAGTTGGCCAATCCAAACAGAAACTCCATGAACTCTTACAGCATTTGGAAAATTCAGAATAAATTTAGAGGATTCCTTTCACTTAAGCATGTTAAGTAGTGTAAATATTCAATAATACATCAAATTGTAAGGAACACAGGCACCCAGGGATTGGACCCAGGTAGGCCATGCACAAGGCAAGTGCCCTATATTGTGTTATGTCTTTTCAACCATCCTCATTCTTCATTTTCAATCAATACTAAAGCCAGGGGAGACTTCCCAACACTCAGTTGTTTTTTATCTAAGTGACTCTGTTCTGATTTTTCCCTCTCACTGCATCAGAGACAGATTGATTCACTAGTAGACAATGGTAAGTCCCACTCCTTGGCTTCTTCTGGTTCAGGAGTTTTAGGAGGTACAACAGGAGTTGTAATAGTTGCTCTAAAGGGATAGTTGTAGCCTCTAAGGCATTAATAGATGCCATTTTTTATCTAATAAGGTTAGACAATAGAATTTCATCCAGATACAGCTATAATATATGCAGCAGCCCTCTCTTTTGCTGCATCTTGTTAACATGCCATCACAACTCTCTCCCAGGGTCTTACTAAGCATCCTAAACATCAGTGAATATTTGAGAGTGAAAGCTTTTGTGTCCTTAGGACTGGAAATGACCTATGAAGAGAGGAAAAGTGAAGGGAAGTTTAGTGTTTCCTTTCTTAGTGGGGCTTTGATTTCCTATTCCAAGGGAACTTCAAACGCACCAGACTTTAGTTCCCCTGATGGTGGTGGAGCGATAGCACAGCAGTAGGGCATTTGCCTTGCACGCAGCCAGCCCAGCAGAGTTGGGTTCGATTCCTCCGTCTCTGTCAGAGGGCCCGGCAAGCTACCAAGAGTATCTCACCCACACAGCAAAGCCTGGCAAGGTACCCATGATGTATTCAATATTCAATATGCCAAACATAGTAACAAATCTCAAAATGGAGACGTTACTGGGCCCGCTTGAGCAAATCAATGAACAATGGGAGGACAGTGATGGTGGTAACATCCAGAGAGAGGGAACTCTTACCCTTAAACTGGGAGGCACTTCAGCTCCTAAAGAATTTGTGAGAGTCATTGGAGTGTGCTGCCCCATCAATGAGCTCTACATTAGGGCCCCAGGCAGACCTGGCTGTAACCTTCTATCTGATATGACAATGGCTGTGTGACAAGCCATACCTAACACCATGGATTTGAATGTCCACTGCACTGGGTTATAGAAAAAGAAGAGAAACAATTCTGCCTCTCTGCTGACTTATCACTAGATCCTGCTGCCTGTATTCATTTTTCTGGTGTCCTGGGCTCATTAATATTTCACTTCCTGCTTACCCTGCTTCTGATCTAAGGAAAGAAGTGGCAGAAAGAGCACCAACCCAGGAGAAAGAGAGAGAGAGAGAGAGAGAGAGAGAGAGAGAGAGAGAGACCTCTGACCTACATCAAAATTTCCCATGACTAATGTTTATTTTCTGACTATGTGTGACTATGAGTCATCTCTTCAAGAAAAAAATCCTTGAACGGAAGATTTTTTCATGGTGTTACCTCTGTTCTCCTAGAAATCTTGATGAAGTTTCATTGTTTTTCTCCCTAATGACACTCCAAATGATATTGGTCGATGTGGGGAAGAGGAAGCTTAGAGATAGATAGATAGATAGATAGATAGATAGATAGATAGATATAGATAGATATAGATATATAAATAATTAATATATTCAATAATATATCAAAGTGGAAGGAACACCAGCACCCAGAAATTGGACCCAGGGAGACCATGCATAAGGCAAGTGACAGAGAGAGAGAGAGAGAGAGAGAGAGAGAGAGAGAGAGACAGACAGACAAACAGACAGACAGACAGAGACAGACAGATGGGGAAACTGGGTTTCTGCTCATTGTGAACCCTGCATATGTTATACCTTATTTTCCACCTTATTATAGTTATGCTTAATGTAAATCACAACTTAACATTGAAGAAAAAATCACATGGACCAGAAAGGCTCTTAGACTCTTCGGAGGCTTAAGGGCAAATGTAGATAGATCTGAAGTGGAAGTCAGAACACTGGCTGTCAGAAAGTGGAAGTCAGAAAAGAGGCTTTCTAATTTAGAAACCATTCTGAGATCATAGAACAGTTTCCTGGGTTTTTTGTTGTGTCACATGGTTTGGGGATTTTTATGTTTTTTGTTTTGTTTTTGTTTTTGAACCACACTGGACAATGCTCAGGGGTCATTTTCTGGTTTACATTCAGGAATCACACCTGGTGGGATGCAGAAAATCAAACCTGGATAAGCTGCATGTAAGGCAAATGCTCTAAAGGGTACTAATTGCTATGGAGAAAAGACGTACACAGTTCCCACCCAGTCAGAAGAATGTGAATTTAAATATGTGGCAATCAGGATTTTGAAACCCACAGCAGTTTCACTTTCGAGTTTAATCCATTTTAAGTGAACTCCTTGGTGAAGTTGTCAGTAAATAGAAGCTGCTGAGAAGACTGACAACAAAAATGTGAGTGTTTGGGGGAAGAGAGTGAAAATGTAAGGCCAAGGTTTGTTCAATGAAGCTAAGGCTCCTGTGTGTGTACGTGTGTGTGTGTGTGTGTGTGTGTGTGTGTGTGTGTGTGTGAGAGAGAGAGAGAGAGAGAGAGACAGAGACAGAGACAGAGACAGAGGCAGAGAGGCAGAGAGAGACAGAGAGAAAGAAAGACAGACAGACATAGTCACAGACAGAGAGAGAGATAAAAAAAGATAAAAAAAAAAAAAGACCCACTAGAAGGCAAGATGCACTCTGGCTCCTTCTTCAGATTCCTCCAGCTAGCACCAAGAACGCACTGTCTTTTACCTTGATAATCTAGGGGGATTTAATTAGATTTCATGAACATATTTTTTGGGAATTCATCACCTAAAATATAAATTATATATCCCTAGGCTGTAATCTAACATTTTAGAAAAGCTACTTGTGATGCTATTATGTAAATAAATATGTAAGAAAAACAGAATGTCTTTATATAATTGTCAGTCAACCCTTAAAATTATCCATAAGAATAAGGGCACTTTTTCTGGGTAATGTTTCATATTATTATTTAAATTTTCACTTTTCTAATAATAAATGATATTGATTTTTTCATACGCATGGAGGAATTGTGTCTTGAGAAGCATAAATACAGGCATTTTGCTCATTTTTGAAAATGGTATAGTGAAGTGGTATATTACATTTATCAAGTGCATATGTTAAACATATTTCTGTTTCTGACATGAGGTCCACTTGGTACTGATTAATGACTTTCTTGACATGTGATTAGATACTATTACCAAGATTTTCTTGTTTGTTTTAGCATAAAGTAATTTCATTATCACGGTCACGGTCCTCCTGTTGTTCATTGATTTGCTCGAGCGGGCCCAGTAACGTCTCCATCATGAGAGTTGTTGTTACTGTGTTTGGCATATCAAATACGTCACGGGGAGCTTGCCAGGCTCTGCCGTGCGGGCGAGATACTCTTGGTAGCTTGGTAGCTTGCCAGGCTCTCCGAGAAGGGCGGAGGAATTGAACTCGGATCAGCCATATTGGCTGTATGCAAAGCAAACGCCCATTCAAAAGAGATTGTGAGCTTCTCCAGAGGAGCAAGAACCCTGAATGATTTTGGGGAAGAGATTTTATGTTGACATTCTCCACAGTGCCTTTGCCTGAAGTTCTACACACGCATAAGGACTCAGGTATTGCCATAAGGAAAGAATTTTGAACTTCTGGTAGTTTGATTTAATTGCCACTGCTTCTTTGAGTTTTGGTTTTGGAGCTCAGGGTTTACTTCTGAATCAGGGATCACTTGATCACTTGGTGGGGCAAATTTCATTCATCCAGGGGCTGGAGTCATAGCATAGCAGGTAGGGCATTTGCCTTGCATGAGACCAACCTGGGTTCGATTCCCAGCATCCCATATGGTCCCCTGAGCACTGCCAGGAGTGATTTCTGAGTGAAAAGCCAGGAATAACCCCTGAGCACCACCGGGTGTCACCCAAAAAGAAAAAATAAATTCATTCATCCATTTTCTTCATACACTGGTGAAATCATTTGATTATGAGCTTTTCTTAGGGAGTCTTGCAAATGCAGGTTCATTTTCGCTGGGGTTTCAGAAGCTCTGATCTAGGAACTACAATTCTCCTCCTCTCAGATCAGTTTTCCTTTCCTCAGATCAGGGAGAGTGACAGAATGGACATGTCAGTTACTGCCGATCAACCTAGACGGATCTCTCTGGCTTCATTGAATGGACACTGTTGTTCTTTGGAGGGAGGGGTAGATACAATACAGAGAGGGGTTTTTCATTAGTCAAATATGAAACCACTGAATTTTCTTCATTGGCAGCCTTAATTCCTAAGTGTTGCTACTATAGTTACAAGCAATCAATAGAAACACAGTATTTGTAACAGTACATTGGAAATTTATGTTAAAAGCTTCTTAATATTCATTCTGATCAGTTGTAATCTGTGTTAGGAATAACTTCTGGCTTCTCTCTCTTAGAATTGGTCTGGAAAAAAATTTCTGTGGTTATGGTGTGTTCTGTATCTGGAGGATCAGTTACACCAGCAAGTACAGTGGCTAAGAAATGAAACGTGTCCAGTTATATAATGAGACACTAAATTTAGATATTTTAATTTTAATATAATCTAAAACACTTGTGATAGTACTACTGTTCTCACACAAATTCATTCTCTGAAAGTGCCAGTCCCATCCGGCACAGGTGACATGTATTTCCATCACTTAGAATAAAATCCCATCTGCTTGATCCCTACCTCTTAGATTCAGCATTAACGATTTTGGGGAAAAACCATGGCCTCAGGCACAGCTAAGACCATGCGGGAGGAAGCCACCTGCCCCATCTGCCTGGAGCTGATGAATGAGCCAGTGATGATAGACTGTGGACACATTTACTGCCGTCCTTGCATAATGGAAATTCTTGATAAGAAGAGAAACAAGTCATCACCAAGGGGAAACCAGTGTCCTGTATGTAGGGCACAGTTTCAAAGGGAGAGTGTCCGGCCAAGTAAGCACCTAGAAAGCATCATTAACACCATAAAGAAGATTGAGCAGGAATATTTGTGTGAAGAACATGAAGAGAAACTAAGCCTGTTTTGTGAAAATGATCGTCAGCTCATTTGCTGGCGCTGTGAGCGAACACCACAGCACAAAGAGCACACCACGGTCCTTGCTACAGATGCCTTTCAAAGTCACAAGGTGAGTACTGCCCAGAGTGCTTCACCAAGTACCCGTTCCCCTTTTGTATCCCTGGGCCTGAAACAGTTTAGTCTGAAAATCAGCATGATATTATAGCTTTGATCAATTTAATCTTCAGATGAACTTTATAATGGGTGTCTAACATATACATATATAGAGGCATGTTAATGTATGGACACAGAGTGTTGTCATAATCTCTATGGACATTGATATCTGTAAAACACTTGGCTCATGGCAAAACAACAGTGTTTTATGAAAAATTTTTATAAAGCCCCAGATGGCATTGAAGAACTGATAAAGATGCCTATATATTCAGACAAGTTAATATACTGACTTTACAGAACAAGAAGATAATTGGCTACTATTTTCAAGATAGAAGCTTGTTAACCTTACATTGCACTCCTATATTGGGAGAAATTACTTTGAAAGAAAATTTAAAATTTTAATATTGGTACTAAATAAGTTAAAATTGCTTGCATAATGATGTTTTTCATTAGATGTCACAGTTCTTCCCCGTCCCTTTCTGTTTTTTTCAAGAGTGTTTTCCTAGTAGTGTACTAATACCAGAGGTCACTGCATGTGATAAAAGTCCCATGGCTTGACTTATTATGCAGTGCTGGTGTTCAGAGAAAATATGGTTCTGGAGTTCAAACTCAGAATCCTGATAAAACGTATGTTCTGTCTCATCGACCTTCACTGGGCTTTGATTCTTCCACTAGTATTTATATTTAGGGACCACACCAGGGGTATTCAGGGATCACTTCTGGCTCTAGGCTCAGGGCTCATTTCTGGCTGTGCTTCAGGAAATATAGGCAGGATTTGACCAGGTATGCTGCTTCCAAGGCAAGCAACTTTACCCCTGTGCTATCTCTCCATCTGTCCCTGGACTCTTTCTAAAACCTGTAGTTGTACTCGGCCTACCTTTTCTTATAGAAACTAATACATAAAAATATTAAGGTGTCAATAATCTGCTGTTGTTTTCTGGATTTAACACCTTCTTATATAAAATATTCATATACACTATTACATTCTTGTTCTTTGTACAGTGTTCATTTGTGAGAATGCAGTATTATATACCTTAGGCCATGGATCAGCAGAAGAATCTGTTTCTAAAATAGAAAAATGATATTAACCTTATCAATTGCTCAGGTTCTTCAGGAGATTGAAACTTTTTTTGTAAATTTTATTTATTGAATCACCATGATATACAGAGTTACAAAGTTGTTCATGATGGTGTTTCAGCTTTACAACGTTCTCACACTGATCGTTTCCACTGGTGTACATTTCCCATCACCAATATTACCAGATTCACTCCTGCTGTCTTCCTACCCCTCCACCATTATCCTACCTCTATACCTCTATGGCAGACACTCCTCTCTCGGAAGATCAAATTTTTCACTTCACACAAATCCCTCAGTATGTATCCTTGAAAGTATATGGACTATAAAAGTTTCCAATATTATTTTATGTTTTAGTCTGTGATCTCCTCTGAGATGTGTAATGAAAAATTGCCCAATTCATAAACCTTCATCAAACAATTTTCCTTCAGGAAATCTTCCAGAAAACTTTGACACACCTGAGGAAACTCGAAGACCAAAATAAGGAATGGCAAGGGAACATAAGAGAGCAACTAACAAAATTTCAGGTAAGAATTTGAGTTAGTCGACTTCAAAGATTCCCCCTAGAGCTTAGACATATAGAAGGATTGAGTTAGTCGACTTCAAAAATTCCCCCTAGAGCTTAGACATATAGAAGGATTGGGAAAAACAAAGCAGTGCTTTAATTTCATCAATTTAAACGAAATAGATTATGCTAGTGTTTGGCCACAACTATGAGAATTGAGCAGTGGAGGAGTCCTAATATCAGTTAGGAGAAGCAAAATAAGTTGCCTTCTGACTCAGACTCATCTTGACTGGTTTAAAAGCTTTAAACATCTCAAAGAACCTTCCTGTTTGAAGCCTAGACCCTCCACTGTGAAAAATTTATCACAATGCAGGGTCTGGCATGCATATTTCCATGCTCAGAAACGAATCATTGTGAGGAAAGGGTCTCTCCAGGTAGAATTCATATTAAAAAAATTCATGAGGATGAGCAGAAAATAGAGCAACAACATCTGCAAATGCAGATTAAGTTCTGTTTCTATGATTGAGCAGACTGTTCAGGAGAGAAATTCATAGTTTTATGGCAATATTAATGTAAATCAACAGTCTATACTCAAATGTCACAGGTCAGTGGGCTTTTTTTTTTTTTTTTGCTTTTTTTGGTCACATTCAGTAATGCTCAGGGATTACTCCTGGCTCGGCACCCAGGAAATACTCCTGGCGATGCTCAGGGGATGCTGGGTTCGAACCCAGGTTGGCTGCATGGAAGGCAACCCTACCCTCTGTTCTATCACTCCAGCCCCAGGTCAGTGGGCTTTTGAGGTTGACTTTCCAAACCTCTAACCAGATCTCTTTGTGTGAATTTTGAATTTTGTCTCACGGTGGACGTTCCTTCTTCCATTAATCTAATAGTCAAGGGTAGTGGGAGGACAAAAATTCCAAGTACCATGTAGAGAAACCCAAATCCCTGAGAGGTAAACCTCCTGTCTCCTATAATGGTTCTGTTTAACTCTATATGAATAAAACTACTGTAGTTTTTGGTGGCTTAGCCATCTAAAGATAAACATTCTAACATTATTTAAATATGCTTTCTTCATTCTAGTCTGAAGTACTGCGTGAAAAAGAATTGAGCCAGTTTATCTTTAAGGAAATTCACCAGATCCTACACATGGAGGAGAATGCTTATGTATGGAAAGTAGAAAATGAAAAAGAGAAAATTCTGAAGACACTGCAGGACAGGGAAGCCCAGTTGGAGAAGCAAAACCAGGAACTCAACAAACACATCCTGGAACTGGAGAGGAAATGTCAGGGCTCAGTACAGGAGTTACTGCAGGTGAGACTGTGCACGTGGAGGAATGGATGAAGGTGTCAGTTTATGGGTTTTCAGTGGAAATGGTGAGAAATATCGGAGGACTGGCTGCTGCTGTTTTCAAAAATGCACACACTGTGGAGAAATTAAGAGATGCTTCTGAGGTACACCTGCCTATATATGGGTACCCTTTACTAGTCTGTAGAGGGTCTTTATGTAAAATACAAAAGAGGCCCTTGGATATATATGACAGTTCTCAGAGAACAATGGGAGAACGTTTATTGGCATCTTGTAGCCTCAGTCGTTTTTAGAGATTCCTGGTGTCAAACAATGTCCTCAAGATATTCCTGCTGACTGGTGGAGGATAAAATCGATGACCAAAATTATTGATAAATTTTCCCTTCATTTTCTCCTGTATCTTACTCTAATAGATATTATGAGGACTGATTTTAGCTACAGTGAGGACATTGCCCACTATGATAAAGCCCTTTACTCCTTATTCTATTTTCATAAAGAATGGAGGTAGCACAGCAACACTGTGTAAACCTACTGCACCAGCTTAGTGAGTCAGTCTTCAGGGCTCTACATAAAGTTACCTGTGAGGAACTTTGTAACAAACAATGTCTCCTATGACATATTAAGAACAAATGAATCCACTGGATGCAAAACATGCAGAGTGAGCAAGCATGAGACAATTCCTGATCGTCCCCCAACAGCTTGCTGGAAAACCTGGTTACGAAATAATAACCCCTTATTATGTTTCGAAAGTAAGAAAAAAATCCTCTGAGGTTGATTAGATACTGTCGTGGTTATATACTGGGCCAGCGTTTCTCAAACTCTGTGCTTGTACTGGTGCTGATTAACAAGTGAAGAGAGGTTGAATATTGATGGTCCGTCACAGTGGTTATAACTACTGGTCTGTATAATGACATGCACAAAGCTATTGGACTGCAGATTTGAAAAGGTTGAAGAACACTGTACTAGGGAATTGGGATGGGAATCTTTGCCTGGGAATTCATTAATACATAGGACTGGAACCACTGTGTTTACTCCTTGGTATGTTTATAGAGAAAAGCCACCTATCGGAGTTCTATGAAATGCTAATGTTTCCATACCAACATCTATCTTTCTTTCTCTATAGGATGTAAGAGACACTTTGGACAGGTGAGTGCTCTTTGAACTCAGGAGGGAGGGATAGTAGCTTTATGGAGCCTAATGGAATGTCGTTCTGATGAATTTTCTGGACTCCTCTTTTTCAGGATTTCTGCTATGAAGTTAAATGCACCAGAGGATGTCTCAATGGAAATTGAGACTCTGCCTGGTCCTGATAACGTTTTCTGTGAATTTATAAAAATGTTTGAAACGTATAATGGTATGTGACCTCAAAAGTTCCCTAAATAATAGAGATGGGAGGAATACTGGGCAACATTTTACTGCTCTTCTCTGGATAGATTCTAGCGAGAATTTTGGTTTTCTTGATTACTCTTCAAACTGTCTCTCACCAGTGCAATACTGATGTCTACCAGGGAAATGACCGCAGTATCTGTCCCAAATAAAAAACAAGGTATAGAGAACAGGATTTGAGACATAACAATTATATTTATGTCATTCAATTTTTTTAGTAAATCCAGAAAGGTAGATGAAGACTGACTGTGCTGCCAGTGGTTTTAGGGCTAGACCAGGTGACATAATAAGTGTTTGAACCATATGGAAAGCCAAGTGCTACCTCATAAAAAAATTGCTGTTCGTTACTTCATTCTTTCCATAATTGCTTTATTTCCATAAAAACTCATAATTGTAACTTTAAAAAACTGAAAACTAAGGGGTTTTTATGATTTGTTATGCTATCAAATAAGAACTACTATGAAAATTTTCTGTATTAATTTAATTGAACTCTAGTGGTTAAAAATAATGCAGTTACAGGCCTGAGTATATAGTATACATACACACACATACACACTTACACACACATATTTATCTATCTATATATATATTATGTATATAGTATAGCAGGTTGAAACCTGGGTTTGATCTCTGGCACCTATATGGTCCCCTAAATTCTGATCATTAAGCTCAGATTTAGGAGTAAGTCCTGAGCACTACCTAGATGGCATCCAACATCTTCCCTCACGCTACCAAATAAGAACACAATAGCGCAGAAGATTTCAGTAATCTTACCACAGCACAGAGGAATCCTCTACCTGGACTCTAACAAAGCTGCAATAAATATGATCACTGGGCTGTGTTTTTTTTTAATCTGGAAGTTAACACAATCCACTTCCAAGCTCATTGTGACTGTAGGCAGAATTCAAGTCTTGACGTATGTAGGACCTAGGAGACTAGCTCTTTGCTGGTTGCAGGCTGGATGTCTTTTTGTATTTCCTCTAAAATACAAAATTTGTAAATACAAATACAAATTAAAAAAAAAAACCCTCAAATGCTTGCACGGTTCTCCCAACATGATTGATTGGGTCTTCAAAGTAAGTTCAAAAAGTAAGAGTCTCCAGGACAAATCTGATGAAATTATTAACACTGACATAATAAAATATATTGGTAGACATGGAAACCCATCATTTTTACTGTGTAAGTCTAATGTAACATGATTGGTCACTGGTCCTGAAAGTAGTTATACAAATTGACAACAACAGAGGGGGGTGGGGATTTAAAGTCACTGTTAATAAGCCAGCCTTTGTGACCAAAATTAAATTGCTCTGTGGACAGCGTTTTGTCTTTATTTATTCCTCTTAATTTGGTTGTAGGAGTGCTGATGAGATGAGCACTAACTTGGGGCTGGGTGTGTCCACATGCTTAGTGTATACATATGTTGCTTTGCATTTATGAGAAGAAAAATATTCTGAATTCTAAGGCATGCTTGGCCCCACATGTTTCATACAAGAAAATTTAATGCTTTCATACTGTAAGAGCATTATGCCATGATTAGGGTAGTGATGGAGACAGTTACTAGATAGATAAGGGCAAAGCTTCTTATAATTCAGACCTTCTCATCTACAAAGTGAATGGTATGTATTCTGTTAAGTGTATCTGTGCAGATACTGTTGTTTTCCATTACTATAACCAAAGTTAGATTTCTTGATGACAATATTGCACCCTTTCTCTAACTGAGATGAATACATTACAGTATTTTCATTATGTGTTCGTGTTTTGTTGGAGCGATAGCACAGCAGTAGGGCATTTGCCTTGCACGCAGCCTGCTAGACTGAGCCGGGTTCAATTCCTTTGTCCCTCTAATTGAGCTTGGCAAGCTACTGAGAGTATCTCGCCTGCACGGCAAAGCCTGGCAAGCTAACCATGGCGTATTCAACATGCCAAACACAGTAACAACAAGTCTTACGATGGAGACATTACTGGGCCCGCTCCAGCAAATCTATGAACAATGGGAGAAGCGTGCTACCGTGCTATAAATATTTGATTTTTATTTTTAACCAAAATATATTTAGTTTTTTACTTCTGGTTCTGAGCTCAGGGATCACTCATGGAGGAGCTCAAGGAACCTTTGGAGAAGCCTGGTATTAAATCTAGCTTAACCACTTGCAAAAGCATCTTATTCACAGTAATATCTCTTCAGTGAGGTTATAAATATTCCTGGCAAGCTCCAGTGGCATATTTGACATGCCAAATACAGTAACAATGGTGTGTCTCATTCCCCTGACCCTGAAAGAGCCTCCAATTTGGCACCATTGGGAAGGACAAGTAAGGAAAGGTTGCTAAAATCTCAGGACTAGGATGAATGCAGACGTTACTGGTGCTCACTTGAGCAAATCTATGATTAACAGGATGAGAGTGATATAGAAACTCTGTCTAGAATTGCCTCTAGTTTTAAATTGTACTTCAGTTAGTACCATTATGACCATCTATTTTTTTCTCTCTTACTGACCTCTACTCAGATCACTTTTTTTTTGTATATTTTTCTTTGGCACATCATCTTGAGCTAATTTTTATGGTATATGAGAAACCAAGAGAGAGAATACTTAAAGTTGGAGAATAGCCATGTGTCCTAAAGCCCTGGGAATAGCTTGTCTTTCAATAAACAAGTGTATATTCACCTGTATTTTTCTATTTTGTACTGAGTCAGTATCATTTGGAAAAATAGAGAGTCTTGCTTTTCCTCAAGTGTTTCATGATTAATGAAATCCTACATGGAAGAAGGGCTTTGGAGAAGAAAATATGTACATGTGTCAAATATGTTCATCTGCTCTTTGGCTTGTACTAGTGTAAGAAATATTGAAATAATGTTAAATAAGAACAGGAGAGTAGTTAGAACCTTTATAGTATATTGCTGCTACTACCAAATATTTTACAATGCTGGATAATGATAGTCATGCCCACTACTAATCAAGCATGTATTAGCTCTTCAATCCTTCCCACCATACTTTGTGACCAACATGATCTCTGTTTTAATTTCTACAATGAATTTTGATAAAATAACTATAACTTTTATCAAAAACAAATTTTTCTTTTGAGCATGGGCTAATTATATTTGGAATATACATAGTAATAAGGATGAAGTAACCATGTTATTTTGTTTTTTAATGATTTTTATTAAATTTTTTGCAGTTAAGATTACTCTAGATCCAGATACAGCTCATAATGACCTACTTGTAAACAAGGATGAAAACAAGGTGACCAGTGGATCACCCCAAGTGAAGCATGAGACTCCTGCTAGGTTTAAAGACTTACCCTGTGTCCTGGGATGTGAGGTCTTCACCTCAGGAAAACATTCCTTTACAATATATAATATAACAGGATCTGAGTGGGATGTAGGAGTGTGTCTGGAAAATGTGCCAAGGGACAATGACATGAGACGGGATCCTGAGTCTGGATTCTGGGCCATCAGATGCTGTGGACAGGGGGACTATGTAGCCCTTACATCTCCCGTAACTCCACTTCGTCTGGAGGAGGAGGTTAGGTGTCTAAGGGTTTTCCTGGACTATGAGGCCGGACTTGTCTCCTTTTACAACTCAAATACTAGCTCCCACATCTTCACCTTCCCACAGGCCTCTTTCTCTGAGCGTCTCAGGCCTTATTTCCACATTGGTGAAGGTTCTTGTTTGTATATTAATCACCCAGATTTGTAAGAAATTTGTAGAGAATATGTTTTGTAAGATTTATAAGAAAAGAGCACAGTGTCCTTATTCTTATATACAGTTCAAAGGAATAGGATTCAAATTCTGTGAGGGTAGAAATTTTGGTTACTTTCTTCACTATTTGCCATAACCTAGATTGATGCAAAGCTTTAGTAGATCACTAATAGATTTGCATTCAATGAATGGATATAAAGACTCTAAACAAGTACCACAGATGAGGAAACTGCTTCACAGGGAAGTTTCTGAGCTACAAGAACCATACACTGTCTTACTCACCTCTCATCAGTGGATTCAGTTTTATGAAATAAATACTCAGCCTAGGTAAATTCTCACCACTTATCTCTTCTTAGTAAATAAAAGCCTTTCAATGGATCATGAAAATGCTGAAACAAGGAGACGAAGGGCTATACATGATAACATTTCAGTATCGGTATTGCAAACCATAATGCCCAAAAGGAGAGAGACAGACAGACAGACAGACAGACACAGACACAGACAAAACACAGATACATACCTAGAGAGGGAGAGAGACAGAGAAGAAAAGTAAAAGTGTCTACTGTGAAGCAGGCTGGGTGTGGGTAGGGATGTAGCAGGAGGAAAACTGGAGACATTAGGGGTGGGAAATGTATACTGATGAAGAGATGGGTGTTGGAACATTGTATGACTGAAACCAATAATAAACAAATTTAGCTGTGTCTCTCAATGTAATTCAATAAAAAAATAGAAAAAAAAAACAAAGTGTAAGTGTATGCTAAGAATGAGTAGCATTGTTCCTAAGTAGGACAGACTGGGGACGTTGCGGGTGGTAAATGTATACTGGTGAAGAGATGGGTGTTGGAACATTGTATAACTGAAACCTGATAATGAACAACTTTAACTGTGTCTCTCAATGTAATTCAATAATAAAAAAAAGAAACATCATGTACGTATATGCTAAGAATGAGTAGCATTGTTCCTAATGACAACATGCTCAAAGTAACTGTACACAGAGTCAAAGTGGGATATAAACAGAGAAAAAAATTGTAGTCAATCTCTAATTAATATAGCTGTGAGTTCACGATGTGGGTGGGGGATGCATTGCGTGGCCAGGAGAAACCTCCCCAGCCTCTTCAGCAGAGGAACAAAGAGATGGGGAACCACAGCCTGATGGCTAATGATCAAAATGGTCTGTGTAATGCAGAGCTGTTAACACACTTAAACAACATCTGAAGTCCTTTGAGGTATAGGACTGCACATAGGTGTGATTGATCATTTACAGAGGTAAAGTGTTTCAGTGGAGGGAATTCTCTTGGAGGGATTAATTCAAGGGGACACTCTGTCTCCCAGGGACATCTATATTGCTTTTCTCTTGTACAATAAACAATTAAGTTTACTTCCTATTAATACTTGTAGTTATTTGGATAAACACAAATAGATAAAGGTTCCAAAATGCAGTCTTCTGAGCTCCAGAGAAAGCCTGCTGGGCTTTTCATAAAAGCCAGACTAAGTTCTCAGGCTGGTTCAGTTTGTCCTTCTTCTGGGGGTCCTATCTCTTAAGTCTATAATGGTCTGAATCAAGACAGTGCTTTTATGCTTCTGAAACTCATATTTAAGTGTCCTGGTAGCTTTTCTTCTTGCCCCGGGTCCATCCATATCTCATGGTGGGACCTCCCTTTGTAGGATGGTCGGTATATGGTAACCAACCTGGGTCAAGTAATTATGATGGCTGCCCAGTTGAGTCACTCAACTCCCAGATATCAGGAGCATATCATTAACAGTCTTTCTGTGTTTAAGCAAAGAACATTACTCTATAGTAAAATGAAAAGTCAGAGGGGAAATAGAAAAACAAGTAATTTACTTCCAATACAAAATCCAAAATCAGCAGAAGTTTTCACTTAGTAACTGACACAAATGAAAGGTCAAAGGGTTAAAGGGTCAAAGGGTCAGAGGGTTAGGGGTGATCGCAAAAGCATTGGAAGCTTCTCTGGGGGGTGGGGAAGGACAATTCATTGATGAAGCCTAAAACATATAGAGTTAATATACCACAGGTATAGAGATAGGGTGAATTAATAAGGGGCAGAGATGATGTAGAATATTTTTTCTTTTGGCAGGGGGACAGGGTGATGCTGGGTTTGTGCCCACATGCAACTGTGCTCCTGGTTCTTCATCAGGGATCACTCCTACAGGGATTGGGATAAACTGAATTATGTACTATTTCTTTAGCCCACAGTGGGGTTTTTTTTTGTCCTCAAGGACCATGTTGGCTGACCTAGAAAATTTCTAGTCCCACATGAAAGTGTAAACTAAATCTCTGCTCAGCCAAGATGCTCAGAATTGCAGAGGTCCACCAAGAATGCTGACCCACTGACCCACTTGTCTCTTCCCAGCTTATTCTGTCAATTTAAGAAAGTTCTTTTGCACTTGACATAAAGAAATAAACTGAAATAAATTCAGAATTTTCAGGGCCACCTATAGGAAGATGGCAGAGTGCTTTTTCTGCTCTCTGACAGGCCTAAGTGAAGGATCAAAGAGAAAGTTCCTCTCCTGCAACCCTTCTATACATTTTCGATCTCTACACCTTAGCTATTTCCATTATGTGGCTGTCCCTTGTATCGGCAAGTTTTAAAATGATCAGCTACATGAACGAGATGTCCCGATGCCTCCCTATCTCTCCTTCCACCTTCCCTGATAACTAAAGGATATTCAGTGAAAGAGAGAAACATGTTTCAAGATAGAATTTGGGTTTCTCCAGAGAGAAGAGAGCTGAAGGTACCATGTTAAGTAAAAGAAGAGAATCATACTTTCCATGTTGAGATACAGGTAAGCCCCAGAATGACAAGTGTCTCAATTACCTCTTCAAAGTGAATGTTCCTGCTGGATCCTGAAGTGAAGAGGGGACTCCCAAAGCCTAGGATACTAATGATGAATTCTAGTACCTGTTCTAAGAAGTGCAAAATAACCTCAAGATTTAGAATACATCACACAACCACATGAAATGGCAAACACCAGAGGCAGTTCATGGCATCCACATGACAGCAACCAGGATGTTGTCATAATCTTTAGGGACATTCATTTCTGTAAAGCACTTGGCCTGTAGCAGAACAACACAACGTTTTGTAAAAAGTTTCACAGAACCCTTTAATGACAGCACTGAAGAATTTAAGAGCATACTTTTATACGCAGAGGATTATATACATTATATTGGGTTTATAGGGTATGATAAAAATTGCTTCTTATTGAGAATGTAGAAAATTGGTTCACCTTAAAGTATTCTCCAAGAAGAATGGAAAAAATGATTTTTGAAAAATTACTTAAAAGCTTGCACTGTGAGGCTGGAGAGATAGTAGAGCAAGAAAGGTGCTTGTCTAGTACATGTTCAACCTGGGTTCTATCTCTGACACCCTATACGATCCCCTGAGTACCATCATACTTATCCTTGAGTGTGGCCAGGTGTGAGAAAAATCAAAAAAGAAAAAACAACAGTTTGATATTAAAATACTTAAAATTGAATCATAATAACATTATTCCCTAGGTATAGTATTTATGTTCCTCCACTACTTCCGTTTCTCTTCCGTCTTCCCAGAATTCCGTCTTCCCAGAATTCTGTTGTGGTCTGTTGACTCTAATAAATTTAATGATATTAAACACTTTCTGACTGCTAATACATACAAAGTGCCACATGTGTCATAAATACGGTGTCAGTCATCGGATTTGACACATTATTATACAAAATCTTCTTTTAAATGATTATCCTGTTCCATGTACAGCATTTCCCTGGAAATAGTATAGTGTTTTAAATAGCTTACACCAAGGTCAATGGATGAATCTCGGTTTCTTTCTTTTTTTCTTAATTTTTTAAAAGATGAATCACCCTGAGGTACAGTTACAGACTTACAAATGGTGTTCTTCCTTACCTACATCATGCTTACAAGCTTGCAAGTTTAAACATTTCAATGAATCTTCATATTTGAAGCCTAAATCTACCACTTTGAGACATTTCACACAAAATAGAACAACATTTTCTGCAAATAGACATTTAACACAACATTTTGTCCTCAAAATTCCATTTTCATAAACTAACCATTGCAAACACTAAGGACAGTATAATTCCAGTGAGAATAATATCCCTCAGGCTCATGAGACCCGCAAGTGTGAACAGAAATGGTGAAAGTATCTAAAAACACAGACTATGAATCTCAACTACAGGGTTGACCTCTCCTCAGGGGAGATATTCAGACCTTTGTGTAAACACTGAAATAAACTGTCATATTATACTCAAATTTTACCTATTCCGGGGGACACTTTGTTTTTCCAGGTTTCTTTTCTAAACCCTTTGCACTTGTTCTTCTTTTTGGGTCATACATGCCATTGTTAAGAGGTTACTCCTGGCTTTGATTCAGTAATTACTCCTGGCAGTGGTGTGAGGACTGTATGAGATGCCAGAAATTGAATCCTGGACTGGCTATGTGCAAGGCGAATATCCTCCTTGCTGTTTTAAGGCTCCTTTTCACTATTTAATTTCTATAAGTGCATGGGTAGTTCCACGGATGATTTAGAATGTAAAATGGTTATTTTACCTCTCTGCTGTACCTCTGACACCACTTCAGCAAGTCAGTCTCAGGGCCTTACATGGATTCTTCAAAGAGGATCTTCGTGGTGAATAATATCTAATATGGGATCCTCTGAAGAAGGGGGTCACCAGATTCAAAACCTGCAGAGTGCACAAGGGCAAATTCCCAGTCTGTTTACCTAAGAAGCCCACAGAATAATGTGATTGCTGCTCCTACAACTGCTCAGCTTCATTAAAGCAGAAAACACTCTGGGGTTAATAACACTAAGTCATATGATTAGTATCCTAGGGCACTGAGAATCATTCCCCAGGAAACCATCATTGTCTGAGTCTGGAGCTGCTGTATTTATTCTTTGGAAGCCTTGTTTATAGAGAATAGTCCCATGAAATGCTATGTTCCATACCAGCATCTATGTTTCTTTCTGTGTAGGATGTGACAGACACCTTGAACATGTAAGGAGAGTTGGGATATAAGATGTAATGGAATGTTCCACTGATGAAGTCTTTGGACTCTACTTATTCCAGGATGTCTGCCATGATAGACGATACACCAAAGTCAGAATATCAGAATATTGGTACCATGTGCAATGTTTCTGAATTCTACTTTGATCTGAAGAAAAATTTAGAGTGATATTAAGGTATGTGACATCAAGAATTCCCCAGATACTGATAGTTGGGAAAATTGGAAATAATGGTGGTGGGAAGTTGCAATGATGGATAGGTGTCAGAACTGAACAAAATAGACAAACAACTTTATCACAAAATTTAAAATAAAGCAAAATGGAAAAAATAATTACCCAGATGGTATAGGTGAAGAGGATAGTAGGCAAACAAGATTACTTGTGTTCCCTTGACAGGTTCAGCGACAGAAAGTTTAGTTATTGTAATGCTATTTCATACTTTCCCTCTTAGAAATTACAGTGTCTAAAAAGGAATTAGAGTATTTGATTTGTTTGAAAATTCTTGAAATGCTTGCTCTCCAGCTCATTGCCATTATCCTAAAGATAAATAACCTCCTTGCTGTTCCATTTTAATATAAATATTATTGGTTAGTTGAATGTCATAAATATAAATGAATTCATCAACCTGTTTAAAGTATATAGAAAAGGGTCCAGGAAATAATGGATGTGCTTGCATGCCATTCAACTCCTGAGGCAATGCTGAATAGGCAGATGAGAATTATTTGCAGTGCTTTCATTTATTTTAGGGCTTGATTAGAGAATCCAATAAATGTGTAATGTAGGAGTTTGTCTGTAAAATGTGCCAAGAGAGAATGAAATGACACTGGATCCCGAGTCTAGATTATGGGCCATCTGACTGCAAACAGAATGACTAAATTGCCCTTACCTCTCCCCTAATTCTGCTTTGTCTGAGGAAGTGGCTTGGTTTGTGGGGGGGTTTCCTGTACTACAAAGCTGGACTTGTGTCATTTTGCAACACCTACAATGGTTTCCACATCTTCAACTTCCCAAGGGTCTCCTTCTCTGAGTTCCCCAGGCCCTATTTCCGTATTGGTAAAGGTTCTCATTAATATCTTCCTTCAGTTTAGTCAGAAAATTTAAATTCTGTCACAGAAGAAATTTGGTCTGTTCTCACTGCTATTTCCAGTTGAGCTTTAGAAGATGTTAAATAAAACAATTTTGAATGAATGGATATAAAATTCTAAAGAATTTATAATGAATGAGGAACCTTGATAAAAAGGAAAGTTACGAGATGAGTTTTAAGTTCTCATCTTTTGCACTGTTTTGGGTATGCTGCAGAGAAGTAACAAGTCTTGTTACTCCTAGCAGTCTACTGATTATTAGTAATGGATAATGAAAGTCATTATGAGGGAAAAAGACATGTTACTTTTCTATTAGAAGACTAGCACCTAGTTTTTCTTAAAGTGAAACTGAATCTTCAGTAGGTTCACAAGAGTAGATAACTTGCTTTCTATTGACCTGATTTGGGGTTGATGTAGATGGAGGTGGTTTTATACTGTAGTTCAAGCAGAAAATCCATTAACTTCTACAGCACTTGGAATACTCAGGATAATTTAAGAGAGTTCCTTCCACTTAGACATGGACACCAGCACCCAAGACTAGACCCAGGGAGGCCATGCTCAAGTCAAGTGCCCTACATTGTGTACTTTCTCTCCAGTCATCCTTATTCTTAATTTTCAATCAACACTAAAGTCAGGGGAGAATTCCGAGCACTCAGTTGCTTTTTTTGTAAGTGACTCTGTTCTGATTTTCCCCTCTCACTGCATCAGAGACAGATTGATTCACTAGTAGAAAATGGTAAGTCCCACTCCTTGGCTTCTTCTGGCTTAGGAGTTTTAGGAGGTACAGCAAGAGCTGTAACAGTGACTCTCCAGGGATAGCTGTACCCTCTGAGGCATTAATAGATGCAGTTTACTGAGGTCAGATAATAGGATGACTCCCAGAGATGGCTATAATGTGAGCAGTAGTTCTCTCCTTTGCTGCATCTTGGTAACATGCCATCACAGCTCTCTCCCAGTGCCTTACTAAGCACCCTAAAGAGGAGTGAATATTTGGGAATGAAATCTTTTGTGTCCTTCGGACCAGATGTGACCTATGAAGAGAGAAATGCTGTAGGAAAGTTTGATGTTTTCTTTCTCAGTGTTGCTTTGGTTTCTTATCCCAAGGAACTTTAAGCTCACCTGAATTCAGTTACCCATAATGCTATTAAAGTCCAGAGAGAGAGAGAGAACTTTTGCCCCTAAACTGGAGGGACTTTAGATCCTAAAGCCTTTGTATGTCATTAGAGTGTTCAGTCCCATCAATGATCTCTCATTAGGTCCCCAGGCAGACCTGACTCTGACATTCTATCTGACCTGACAATGGTTGTGTGACAAGCCATACCTAACAAACTGAATTTGAAAGACCACTCCACTGGTTTTTGGAGAGAGAAAAGAAACAATGCTGCCTCACTGCTGACTCATCACTAAATTCTGCTACCTGTATTCATTTTTCTCAAGTGCTGGACTCATTAAGGTTCATATCCTGCTTGTAATACTAAGGGAGAAAGTGACAGAAAGAGAACCAAAGAGAGAGAAAGTGACAGAAAGAGAACCAGAGAGAGAGAGAGAGAGAGAGAGAGAACACTGTCCAGTATTCTGGTCTGGAAATGATATTTCTCTTGACTTAAAGTTTATATTCTGACTAAGCATGACTACCAGAGTCATCCCCCAAGAAACCATATTTGAAAGGAAGATTTCATGGTGTTAGCTCTGTTCCCCTGGAGATCTTCACAGAGTTTCTTTGTTTTTCTCCTGAATGACACTCTGAATTATAGTGAAAAGAGTTAGAGAAGCAAAGACAGAGCTATGACAGGCTCTATAAAGGAGCTAGAAGATTTTAGTCCTCAGTTTCAGTTTCAGAATTCCTGGAATTGAGTGCAGATTCCTGGTATTGAGTCCTAACTTCCCTGAAGTGAGATAGCCATGGTGAAGTCAACTAGAGTTACCAATCAGATGCAGGTAGAAAAGTCCACCCTTTTGTAACCTGTTTGTTTGTTTGGTCGGTTGGCTGGTTTGGGGACCACACCCAGCAATGTTCAGGGTTTATTCTGCTCTCAGGAAATACTTCTGGTGCTCAGGGATGATATGGGATGCTGAGGATCTAACTTGAATCAGCCACATACAAGGCAAATGACTTACCTGCTGTTTTATGGCTTTGGCTTCATTGCTTGGTTTTAAAGATCACTGTGGAGTAAAGGCATCATTTCTACAAATTCACCACCCAGTCAGAAGGAAATGAGTTTAAAAATGAGTCAGACAGGACTTATAACCTCACAACAGTTTCATTTCAGATCTGATTTCCTACAGCAGTTTCACTTCCGAGTTTAGTCCAGTTCTAGTAAACTTTCTCACTGAGTCCTCAGTAAATAGAAGCCACTGAAGAGACTGACAACAAAAATGTGAGTTTTCGGGGGTAAAGAGTAGAAATGTAAGACCAAGGTTTGCTCAGTGAGCTTAAGTCTCTCTCTCTCTCTCTCTCTCTCTCTCTCTCTGTCTATCTGTGTGTGTGTGTGTGTGTGTGTGTGTGTGTGTATTGAGAGAGAGAAAGGGATACAGAAGACAGACAGAGACAGAGATAAAAATAGACCAACTAGGATCTTGCTCGGGAACTGTCATTTGTGTGATATAAAGAAAGATAATATGAGACTAACACTTAAGAACAGTCAAGATAAATGACTGCGCTGTGGTTTCAAAGCCAGCCTCATATGCTGGGGGGAAAAAGTAGCTGGAATGGAGAAGGGACCACTAAGTAAATGATAGTTGGGCAATTCTCTCGGAATGGGAGATACATGTTGAAAGTAGACTAGGGACCAAGTATGATGGCCTCTTAGAATCTGTATTGCAGACCATCATGCCCAAAAGTTGAGACAGAGTAAGAAGGAAGGTAGCTGAGACAGAGGCAGGAGGTGGAATCGGATGGGGGTGGCAGGAGGGATACTGGGAACATTGGTGGTGGAAAATGTGCCCTGGTGGAGGGATGGGTGCTTGATCATTTTATGACTGAAACTTAATCATGAATGTTTGTAACTGTATCTCAGGGTAATTCAAAAATTAAAAAAAAAAGATCCACTGTAAAGCATGATGCACTCTAACTCCTTCTCAGGACCTCCATCTAGACCAAGAAGGCACAGTCTCTTACCTTGATAATATTCTGGGATTGAGTTAGATTTCATGGACATACTTTTTGAAATACATTATTTATAATATAAATTATAGCTCGTAGGCTATAATCCAGCATTTTAGAAAAGCTACTTGTGATGCTATTGTGTAAATGAATATGTAAGAAAAACTGATTGTCTATATAATTGTCACTGTCAACCCTTAATTTTTAAAAAATTTTTTTACACCCTTTAAAATTATCCATAGAATAAAGTCCTTTTCTCTGGGGGCATATATTATTATTTGACTTTTCACTTCCCTAATAATAAATGATGTTGATTTTTTTTTCATTTGAATGGGGTAATTGTGTCTTTGAGAAATATCTACAAAGGCACTTTGGGCATTTTAAAAAACTGTTTAATCTTGTCTTTGAGAATCATTTATGCAGGAATTTTGCTCATTTTGAAAACTGTTTAGTGAAGTGTTATATTATAATTATAAAGTGCATATATCAAACATCCTTTTGTTTCTGAAATGAGATGCACTTGGTAATAATGACTTTCTTGACATGTGATTAGATGCTATTATTAAGATTTTTTTTGTTTTAACATAAAATAGTTTTGTTATAAGGGAACAGAGAGAAAGAGTAACATGTTCAAAATAGACTTTGAGCTTCTCCAGAAGACCAAGAGCCTTTGGGAAGGGTCATATGTGGATATTCACAGTACCTTGGCCTGAAGTTCTATGCCCAAATAAAAGCTGTCAGGTATTGTCAAAAGAGAAGAGTTTTGAACTTTTTATGGTTTTATCTCATATTTGTAGCTTCTATGATTTTGATGTTTGGCTCTGGAGCTCAGGGTTTACTTCTGACTGGCATTCAGAGATCACTACTAGTGGGGCAAATTTCACTCATCCATTTTATTCATACATGGGTGTATTCATTTGATTACGATCTCTTCTTAGGGAGTCTTGCAATTGCAGGTTCATTTTCTCTGAGTCTTCAAAAGCTCTGTTCTAGGACCTACTCTTCTCTTCCCCTCAGATCAATTTTCCTTCCCTCAGATCAGGGAGGATGACAGAATGGACATATCAGTTGCCTATTAGCTTACAATGTCACCGTAGACAGATCTTCACAGGCTTCATTGAACAGATATTGTTATTTGGAAGTAGGGGTTAGGTAAAATACAGAGAAAAAATTTTATTAGTCAAATATGAGTCCACTGAAACTTCTTTATTTACAGCCTTAATTCCTAAGTGTTTCTACTAATATGAACAATCAATCAGAAACAAAGTATTTGTGGTGGTTAGTACATTGGTAGCACTGTAGCACTGTCCTCCTGTTGTTCATTGATTTGCTTGAGCAGGCACCAGTAATGTCTCCATTGTGAGACTTGTTATTACTGGTTTTGGCAAATAGAATATGTCATGGGAAGCTCGCCAGGCTTTGCCATGTAGGCAGAATACTCTGGGTAGCTTGCTGGGCTCTCCAAGAGGGGCGGAGGAATCAATACAGTATGGCTGTGTGAAAGGCGAACGCACTACCCGCTATGTGTGTGAGGAATAACATCTTCCTTCTTGCTCTTAGAATTGATCCAGAAAAACGTTTCATGGTTATGATGTGTTCTGTTTCTGGAGGACCAGTTATACCAGCACCTAAGCTACTAACAAATGAAATGTGTCTAGGTATAATGAGATTCTAAATTTAAATATTTTAGATTTACTCTAATCTACAGCACTTGGGATAGCACTACTGCATTCCAAACACAATTCATACTCTGAAATTATCACTCCCATTAGATTCAGGTGATGTGTATTTCCATCACTTATAGAAAAATCCCATCTGCTTGATCGCCATCTCTATTTTCAGTATTAAAGATTTCCAGGAAAAACCATGGCCTTGTGCACAGCTAAGACCATGAGGGAGGAAGCCACCTGCCCCCTCTGCCTGGAGCTGATGACTGAGCCCGTGATGATAGACTGTGGACATATCTACTGCCGTTCTTGCATAATGAAAAATCTTGAGAACCAGCATCAGCAGTCATCTTCCCAGGGAAACTTCCACTGTCCTGTATGCAAGGCACAGTTTCAGAGGGAGAGTATCCGACCCAGTAAGCAGCTAGAAAGCATCATTGGCACCATTAAGATGATGGAGCAGGAACATCTGTGTAGGGAACACGGAGAGAAGCTCAACCTATTCTGTGAAGATGATGAGCAACTCATCTGCTGGCACTGTGAGCGGACACCACAGCACAAAGGGCACACCGCGGTCTTTGCTGCAAATGCATATGAAGACTACAAGGTGAGTACTGGCCAGAGTGCTTCACCAAGTACCCGTCCCTCTTTTGCATCCATGGGCCTGAAATTATTCAGTCTGAAACCCAGGATGATGATATAGATGTCATCACTTTAATCTTCAGATAAGCTTTATAATGGCTATTCATCTTATATATACATAAATAGAGATATATCAATGCATCTACACAGAGTATTGCTATATCTCTATGGACAATGATATCTGTAAAACTCTTGGCCCATGGCAAAACAACCATTTTTTATGGAAAAATTTCATAATGACCTTGATGGCATTGAAAAACTGATAAGTATACCTATTTATTCAGACAAGTTAATATACTGACTTTACAGAGCAAGATGATAATTGACTACTACTTTCAAGATAGAGAGCTGCTTAACTTTACAGTGTGCTCCTATATTGGGAGAAAATACTTGAAAGATCATTTAAAATTTTGATATCAGTAGTAAATAATTTAAAGTTGCTTGCATAATGACATTTTTCATTAGATATCACAGCTCTTCCCTGTCTCTTTATTTTTTTCTCAAGAGTGTTTTCCTAGCAGTGTCCTGTGATCCAGAGATCGCTCCATGTGATACAAGTCCCAGTGGCCTGACTGCATAGTGCTAGCGCAGTGCTGTCGGCCACTGGGCTCCTACCTGGAGATGTTCAGAAATCCTATAGGCTGGCCTTTAGAGAAAATGTGATTCTCAGGATCAAACTCAGGATCCTGATAAAATTTGTGCCCTGTCTCATTGACCTTCATTGGGGTTTGACCCTCCTATTGAGGTTTGGATTTAGCCACCACACCTAGAGATGCTCAGAGATTATGGTTGACTATGCTCAGGGTTAGTTTCTGGATGTGCCTGGGGAACCATAGGCAGTTTGGACCAGGTATGCTCTTATAAGGCAAGCAACTTTACCCCTGTACTATCTCTTCATCTGTCCCTGGTGTCTTTCTAAAAACTATGGAGGTACTTGACCTACCCTTGCTTTTTTACTTTTCTTTTTTGGGGGGTCACACCTGGCAATGCTCAGGGGTTAACACCTGGCTCTGCACTCAAGAATTACTTCTGGCGATGCTCAGGGGACCATATTGGATGCTGGGAATCAAATCTGGGTTAGCTGTGTGCAAGAAAAACATCCTACCTGCTGTGCTATCACTCTAGCCTGGTCTACCCTTACTTGTACACAATAATATATAAAAATGTTAAGGTGTCAATAAGCTGCTACTGTTATTTGGACTTAACACATTAGTATATAAAATATTATCACACATTATTCTATTCTTTTTATTTTTCAGTGTTCACTTAGGAGAATGTAGCATTGTATATCTTAGGCCATGGTTCATCAGAAGAGCCTGTTTCTAAAGTAGAAAAATGATAATAACAAATGTAGCAATTCCTTAGGTTCTTCAGCATATCAATTATTTTTTAAATTTTGTTTCTTGAATCACCATGATACACAGTTACAAAGTTGTTCGTGATTGTGTTTCAGCCAGACAATGTTCCAACACTTATTCCTTCCACCAGTGTACTTTTCCTCACACCAATGTCACCAGTTTCCCTTTGGCTTCCTTCCCACCCCCCCACAACTAGCCTGCCTCTACAGCAGACACTCTTCTTTCAAGAGATCAAAGTTTTCACTTCACACAAATCCCTCAGTATGTATTCTTGAAAGTATAAGGACTATGCAAGTTTCCAATTATTATTTTAAATTTGAAAGTATGTGATCTCCCCTGACATATATATTGAAAATCTTTCTAATTCATAAACTTTCACCAAATGATTCTGCTTTCAGGATATCTTCAAGGAAACTTTGACATACCTGAGAAAACTCAAAGACCAAAATAAGGAATGGCAAGGGAACATAAGAGAGCAAATGACAAAATTTCAGGTAAGAATTTGAGTTCATTTGAGTTCAAATATGTTAACCCTAGAGCTTAGACATATAGATGCATAAGACAAAACAAAAGGATGCTTTAATCTCATCAATCTAGACTAAATAGATAAATTGCAAATTATTTGTTTAAATGATCCTAGTTGGCAACAATTATGAGAATTGAGCTCCTGTTCCTTTGACCTTTCAGCAGTAATTGTGGAAGAGTCCTAATATCAGTTAGGAGAAGCAGAATAAGTTGTCTCCTTACTAAGACTCATCTTGACTAGTTTATAAGCATTAAACTACTCAAAGTAGCTTACTGTTTGAAGCCTAGGCCTACCACTGTGAGAAATTTACCACAATGCAGGGTTTGGCATGAAATTTTTCATGCTCAAAAACTAATCATTGAGTAGAGGATCTCTCCAGTTGAATTCATATTTTAAAAAATGAGGATGAGCAGAAAATGGTGCAACAACATCTGGAATTGCAGATTAACTTCTGTTTCTATGATTGAGCAGACTGCTCAGAAGAGAAACTCATAGCTTTATAGCAACATTGATGTAAACCAACAGTCTATACTCAAATGTCATGGATCAGTGGGCTTTTCAGGGTGTCTTTTCATACCTTTGCCCTAGTCTCTATGTGTGAGTGCAAATTTGAACTCGCAGAGGATATTCCTTTTTCCCTCCATTGAACAGTCAGGGGTAGTGGGAGAATACAGATCCACTAGCATGTAGAGAAAGCAAAGTCCCTAAGAGATTTAAACTTCCTGTCTGCTATAAAAGTTCTATTTAACTATAAATGAATGAAATTATTCTATTTTGATTATCTATTCATCTAATGATAAACATTTTCCTCATTTTTGAATATGCTTTCTTAATTCTAGTCTGAAGTACTGCATGAAAAAAAATTGTGGCAGTTTGGCTTTAAGGAAATTCACCAGATCCTACACATGGAGGAGAATGCTTATGTATGGAAAGTAGAGAATGAAAAAGAGAAAATTCTGAAGACACTGAAGGACAGTGAATCCCAGCTGGAGAAGCAAAGCCAGAAACTCAATCAGAACATCCTGGAACTGGAGAGGAAATGTCAGGGCTCAGCCCAGGAGTTACTGCAGGTGAGACTGCGCACATGGAGGAATGGATGAAGGCATCAGTTCCTGGGGTTTCAGAGGAAATGATGAGGACTGCTCTGCTGCCGTTCTCAAAAACGCACACAGTGTGGAGAATTTAAAGGAATGCTTCTGGAGTTGGAGCAATAGTACAGCAGACAGGGTGCTTGCCTTGCACGTGGCTGACCCGAGTTCAATTCCCAGCATCCCATCTGGTCCCCCCAGTGCCGCCAGGAGTAATTCCTTAGTACAGAGCCAGGAAATCCCCCTGAGCATTGTCAGGTGTGACACAAAAGGAAAAAAAAATTAAAAAAGAATGCTTCTTAGATACATGTGCCTGTATATAGGTGTCCTTTACTAGTCTATAGAGTGCCTTTATGTAAAAAAAAGACCCTTGGATACACACACACACACACACACACACACACACACATATATATATATATATATATATATATATATATATATATAGCAGTTCTTAGAGAACAATGGGAGAACTTTCGTTGGCATCTGTTAGCCTCTGTTTATTTCAGAGATTTCTGATGTCAAACGATCTCCTCAAAGATATTATTCCTGCTGACTGGTGGAGGCAAAAATGAGTAACATCAGAATGATTGTTAAACTTTCTAGAACATATTATGAGGCCTAATTAATAGCTACAGTAGGCTATTGTCCACTATGATAAATACCTGGAGCTTCTTATTCTGTTTTCTTAAAGGATGGTGGAGGCATAGCAAGACGTTCCACCTCCGTGCAAACCTGCTCACATCAATTTAGTGAGTCAGTCTACAAGGCTCTACAAAATTTACCTGTGAGGACCTTTGTGACAAACAATGTCTCCTATAACCTCTTTACAACAAATGAGGTCACTGAATGCAAAACATGCAGAGTGTGAAAGTATGACACAACTCTTAATCTTCCCCCAAACAACTCACAAGCAAACCTGGTTCCAGAAATATTAACTCTTCATGTTCCAAAAGTAAGAAAACATATTCCAAAGCTGATCAGATACTGCCATAGTAATATGGGCCAGGGTTTCTCAAACTCTGTGCTTGTACTGGTACTGGTTAGCAAGCATAGAAAGGTTAAATATCAATGATGTATCTGGTTGTAATTGCTGGTCTGTGGAATGGTGCGTACACAGGTATTGGACTGCAGGTTTGAAAAGGCTGACGAATGCTGTCTAGGGAATTGGGATGGGAATCATTGCCTGGGAATTCATTAATTCATAGGACTGGAACCACTGCATTTATTCCTTGGCATGTTTATAGAGAAAAAGCCACTTACCAAAGTTCTATGAAATGCTAATATTTCCATACCAACATCTATCTTTCTTGTTCTATAGGATGTGACAGACACTTTGCACAGGTGAGTGCTCTTTGAATTCAGGAGGGAGGGATTACTATCTGGAGTCTAATAGAATGTCATTCTGATGAATTTTCTGGGCTCTTCTTCTCTAGGATGTCTGTTATGAAGTTAAATGCACCAGAGGATGTCTCATTGAATATTCAGGCTAAGCTGGGTCCTGGTAACATTTTAAGGGAACTTATAAAATTGTTTGAAACTTATAATGGTATGTGACATCACAAATTCCCTAAATAATACAGGTGGGAGGAATACTGGGCAATGCATTTTACTGCTCTTCTGTGGGCAGGTTCTAGCTAAAGTATTGGTTTTCTTGATGACTATTCAAGTTCTTTTTCTCAAGTTCATTAGTGATGTCCCCCAGAAAAATGACCTCTATTTCTGTCCCATACAAAAAACAGAATCATTAAAACTTCCCAATCAGTGGACTGTGACAAATTTTAAACTAAATTATCAGTTACACAAATATTTAGAACAGGACATAATAATTATGTTTATGTCATTCAATTCCCAGAGTAATTCCAGAAAGGTAGGTGAAGACTGACTGTGCTGCCAGTGGTTTTATGGATAGACCAAGTGGGATAATATAAATGTTTGAACCATATGAAAACCAAGTTCTACCTAGTAAAAAACTTGCTGCTTCTTACTTCATTCTTTCCATAATTACTTTATTTCCATAAAAATCTATAATTGTAATTTTAAAAAACTGAAAACTAAGGATTTTTTGCATGATTTGTCAAACTATAAAATAAGAACCTCTATGAAAAGTTTATTAAGTTTATGAAAATCTAGTGGCTGAAAATAATGCAGTTTCAGGTCTGAGCATATAGGAGGTTGATTGCCTTTTATACATCCAAACCAACACCCTATATGGTCCCCTGTGTTGTGCCAGAGATGATCACTAAGCCCAGAGTTAGGAGTAAGTCCTGAGCACAGCCTGGTTGGCACCCAAGCACCCCCACCCTACCTTCCCCCTAGAAGAATGCAATATCTCACAAGATTTCAGTAATCTTACCACAGCTCAGAGGAATCCTTTACCTGGGCTCTAACAAAACTGCAATAAACATGATTGCTAGGCTCTGTTTTCAGCTGGAAGCTAACACGATCCACATCCAAGCTCACTGTGACTGTAGGTAGAATTCACTTCTTGATGCATGTAGGGCTTACAACACTAGCTCTTTGCTGGATGCAGGTTGGATGCCTTTTTGTATATCCTACAGAAAAGTTTCAAATGCTTGCACGGGTCTGGTCGATTGTTTCTTCAAAGTGAGCTCAAAAAGCAAGAATCTCTAGTATGAATCTGATGGCATTATTAACACTGCCATAATAAAATATATTAATAGACATGAAACCCCATCATTTTTACTGTTTAAGTCCAATGTAATATGATTGGTCTTTGGTCCTGAAAGTAGTTATACAAATTGCCAATAAAAGAAGGGAGATTATTAAAGTCATTGCTAGTCTGCCAGCTCAGTGACAAAAACTAAATTGCTCTGTGGACAGTATTTTGTCTTTATTAATTCCACTTTAGCTTAGTTGTAGGAGTGCTGATGAAACGAGCACTTAATTAGACAGCACTGGGTATGTTCAGATGATTAGAATACATTGCTTTACAGTTATGAAAAGAAAAAATGTTCTGAATTCTAAAGACATGCTTGGCCCCACATGTTCCATACAAGAAAATTTAATGCTTCCATACTGTGAGAGCATTATGGCATGACTGGAATGGTGATGGAGGCAGTTGTTCGATAGATAAGGTCAAAGCTTCTCATAACTCAGACCTTTCACCTACAAAGTGAGTTTTATGTAGTATCCTGTTAAGTGTACTATGCAGATACTATTTTTCTACAGTACTATAACTAGAGTTCAATCAGATCTCTTGATGACGATACAGCACCCTTTCTCTAGCTGAGGTGAATCAATTACAGTATTTTCATTATTAGTAGTATTTTGTTATAAAAATTTGATTTTTTTATTTTTAACCAAAAAACTGTGTTTTATTCCTGACTCTGAGCACAGGGATCCCTCATGTAGGATTTCAGGGAACCTTTGGAGAAACAGAAGATTGCAGATCAGTCACTTGCAAAAGCATTTTACCCACAGTACGATCTCTCAGTCCAGGTTATAAATATATATAAAGTATGTTTAGAAGTAGCATATTTGATGCACTAAATTAATTATTATTTATACATATTTGTTTTGTGCATTTTTTATTTTTTAAATTCTATTTTACTCATTGCCATTTTCAATGCTGTCAATTATAGGATTACATTCATTCATTCATTCATTCATTCATTCTTTCCAACAACACACACCCAATCAAAATGTTTATTTCCTTCAACCATTCCAAGCTTTACCAAGATATTCTCCTCAAATCCATCTGCCCCTCTCCCCACCATGGTAAGTTTGGTTATGTAGCACTGTTTCCAGATTCTATTGTTTTGGCCCATTTGTTATTCCCTTACTATGCTTTTTTTTATCCCATATATGAGAGAAATTATTCTGTGTCTGTCTTTCTCCTTCTACCTGTATATAAAGTAGGTAAATATAATATAAAGATAAAGATAAATATAGATACAAAGTAGGTAGATATACCTGTATATAAATTAACAATAAACATTGCATAATTATATCTTATAGCTAAGTAGCAATCTATTATGTATATAAACCATGCATTTGTTTTTAATTTTTATTAGTGAAAAACCATGAGGTACAGTTGTAGACTTAAAAATTTTTGTGCTTGGATTTCAGTTATACTATGATCGAGTACCTATCCCTCCTCTAGTGCCCATTCCCCACCACCAATGATCCCAGTATCCCTCCCCCATCCTCCCATCCCACCCCGCCTCTGTGGCAGGCATTCCCTTTTGTTCTCTCTATCCTTTTGAGTGCTATGGTTTGCAAAAGAGGCATTGAGTGGCAATCATGTTCGGTCTATAGTCTACTTTCAGCATGCATCTCCCATCCTGGGAGGATCCTCCCAACACCCTTTACTTGGTGTTCCCTTCTCTATCTGAACTGCCTTTTCCCCTAGCATGTGCGGCTGGCCTTCAAGCCATGGAGTGAACCTCCTGGTACTTATCTCAACTATTCTTGGGTGCTAGTCTCCTATTTTGTTACTTTATATTCCACAGATGAATGCAATCTTTCTATGTCTATCCCTCTCTTTCTGACTCATTTCACTCAACATGATATTTTCCATGTAGTACCACTAGTATGTAAATTTCATAACTTCATCTTTTCTAACAGCTGCATAGTATTCCATTGTGTAGATGTACCAAAGTTTCTTTAACCAGTCATCTGTTCTTGGGCACTCGTAAACTATACATTTTTAAATCATTGATCTGTTCTTGAAAACTTGGGTTGTATCCAGATATTCACTATTGTTACTAATGGTGCAATGAACATAGGAGTGCAAATGTATTTTCTGAATATAGTTCTTGGGCCTTTAGGATAGATTCCCAGAAGTGTAATGACTGCCATATAGAAACTCAATTCTTATTTTTTGATATTTGTTCATAATCTATAAAGGTTGAAACAAGTGAACTTCTCTCCAACAGTGGATGAAGATTTCTTTTCCCCACATCCGTGCCAATTCTGGTGATTTTGTTCTTTTTGGTGTGTGTCCATCTTACTGGTGTGAGATGATATCTCACTGCTATTTTGATATGTTTCCCTTATAGCAAGTGTTGGAGAACATTTTTCATATCCCTATTGGCCACGTGCATGTTTTCTTTGAGGAAGTGTCTGTACATCTCTTCCCCTTTTTTATTTTCTTTTCATTGCTCTATTTTGGATGGGGTTTTCAAACAGGGTTTATTTTTAACCATCCAAAGTATTATAAATAAAATCCCAATAAGTTGAATCTGCTCCTGTCAAGAACTCATTGAGAGGAGTTTAATAAGTGAATTAAAGAAAGAATAGATTTAGGGCAACGACTAAGGAACAATGAAACAACCAGAGCAGGGATAGTCAAGGAGTCCTCACCAGGTGGGCCTCAAATACAGATGGAGTGATCTGAAGAATAGGAGAATGTGACCCGAGAGAGAAGTACAGACTCAATCAGAGCACTATGGAGAAACTGTTATAGTAGAGTTTCCAGCTCTCTTATTGGCTAACTAAAATGAAATCAGGTAGAAGGTAGAAAACTGGTTCCATACTGGTCATTCTCCTCAGAAAGACAAGGAATTAATAGGTTGGGAGTGTTCTGAAATAAAATAACAGGAAAGAATCCAGAGAAGAATTATTTCTGCATTCTTTATTTCCCTATGTTCTACTATCCATTTGCTTGAAAACATTAAGTGACTCTCTGTCTAAAACAATCTCTTGTTGTGTTTGATTTTTTAAGTTGTACTGTTGGCTGCTATCATTGTGACCATCCTATTTTTTCTCTCTTAGTTCTACTCAGATCATTTTTTGAATATTTTTTCTTAATACATCATCTTGTATTAATTCTGATGGCATATAAAAAAATCAAAGGGAGTGAATACTTAAAGAGTAGCCCTGGAAATAGCTTGTCTTCGATAATCAAGTATAGATTTATCTGTATTTTTCTCTTCTGATACTGTGTCAGTGTCATTTGGAAAAATAGGGAGGCTTGTTTTTCCTCTAGTATTTCATGATTAATGAAGTACTATACAGAAGAAGAATGGCTTTGGAGAAGAGAATACGTAAATATGTCAGATATGTTCATCTGGACTTTAGCTTGTATTAGTGTGAGAAATAAATAATGTTAAATAAGAAAGGAGAGCAGTCAGAGCCTTCATAGTATATGCTGCTACTACCAAACATTTAACAATGTCACAGTCATGCCCACTATTAAGAAAGCATGAATTAGCTCCTCAATCCTTTACACCATTCTTTGTAACCAATATGCTTTCTATTTTACTTATCACAACTAATTTTGATAAAATGACTATAATAGTTGTTAGAATAAAGTTTTTGTTTTGAGCCTGGACTGATACTATTTGAAATATACTGAAGATTAAGCATGAAGTAACCATGTCATTTTGTTTTCTCTTGTTTTATTTATTTATTTATTGATTTTTTGCAGTTTCAGTTACTTTTGATCCAGATACAGCTCACAATGACTTACTTGTGAACAAGGATGAAAACAAGGTGACCAGTGGATCACCCCAAGTGAAGCATGAGACTCCTGCTAGGTTTAAAGACTTACCCTGTGTCCTGGGATGTGAGGTCTTCACCTCAGGAAAACATTCCTTTACAGTATATAACTTAAGAAGATCTGAGTGGGATGTAGGAGTGTGTCTGGAAAATGTGCCAAGGAACAATGACATGAGACGGGATCCTGAGTCTGGATTCTGGGCCATTAGATGCTGCAAACAGAGGGACTATGTAGCCCTTACATCTCCCGTAACTCCACTTCGTCTGGAGGAGGAGGTTAGGTGTCTAAGGGTTTTCCTGGACTATGAGGCCGGACTTGTCTCCTTTTACAACTCAAATTCTAGCTCCTGCATCTTCACCTTCCCACAGGCCTCTTTCTCTGGGCCTCTCAGGCCTTATTTCCACATTGGTGAAGGTTCTTATTTGCACTTTGATGAAAACTAAGATTTGTAAGAAATTTGTAAAAAAAGATTTTAAGATTTGTAAGAAAAGAGCACAGTATCCTTATTCTTGTATGCAGTTCAAAGGAATAGGATTCCAATCCTGTAAGGGTAGAAATTTTGGTTGCTTTCTTCACTATTTACCACAACCCTGAATAATGCTAAGCTCTAGTAGATAACTAATAGATTTGCATTGATTGAATGGATATAAAGACTCTATGCAAGCACCACAAATGAGGAACCTGCTTTAGAGGGAAGTTACTTAGTTACAAAGACCAGACACTATCTGTCTGACTTCTCTTCAGTGTATTCAGTTTTATGAAATAAATACTTGGCCTGGATAAATTCCTACCAGTGATTTCTTCTTAAGAAATAATAAAAAACCTTTCCTTTGAGTGTGAAAGTGTTAAAACAATCCCAAATCAATCTCCCTTGCAGTGTCTTTTGTAAATATTGGGATAATACAGTCAAGACTAAAGATCCTAGGAAAAAATTATGTGACCCACAAGAGTAAAAGCAAGCTCAGGTTAGAGAAATAAACAATATGAATAGTTTTATTAGGGAGCAGCTTCCATGTAAGAAACAAAGTGTACACATTGCACTCACTGTGGTATATATAAAAAATAGTATAAGACTACTCAAGGACAGTAGAAATGAGGGCCAGGCAGACTGGTCCATGTTTGGAAGTTTGCCAGAAATATGTGTTTGAGTGGGATGTGTGGGGGGATGCTAGAAAGAGAAGAGGCCACTATAACACTGATAGTTGGAGATAATCACTCTGGACCCAAACAAGCACCGAAAGGAGACAAAGGGGTGTACATGATTAAATTTCAGTGTCTGTATTTCAAACCTTAATGCCCAAAATTAAAGAGAAAGATACAGAAAGATAGAGATTGGGAGAGAGAGAAGAAGAGTAAAAGTGTCTGGTGTAGAGGGAGGGTGGGTGGGGATGGTTTTGTGACAGGAGGGAAACTGGGGATTTGGGAAGTGGGAAATATACACTGGTGAAGGGACGGGTGTTGGAACATTCTATGACTGAAATCCAATCATGAACAACTTTGTGACTGTGTATCTCAATTTAATTCAATAAAAAAGAAAAGAAAGAAACTACACATATATGCTAAGAACGGTTGCATTTTTCCTAAGTAAGACAGCTTCCTCAAAGAAACTGTACATACTCCGACGCAAAGTGGGGCATAAATAGAGAAAGAACTGTTTGTCGTCAATTCCTAATTTATATAGCTGTGAGTTCACAATGTGGGTGCACAACGCTGTCAGTGTTCTAGATCTGCTTCCCCAGCCTCCCCAAGCAGAAGATCAAAGTGACAGGGGACCACAGCCTAATGCTGATGATCAAAATGGCCCATTTAATGCAGAATTCAGCTGAAGGGGCTTGGGGTATAGACTGCACGTAGGTATGATTGGTCATTTATAGAAGTAAATTGTTGCAGAAGTCAATTCTCTTGGGGAAATTAACTCAAGGAGACACTCTCTCTCCCAGGGACATTTATATTGCTTTTCTCTTGCCCTCTAGTTGTACATATTAAGCAATTAAGTTTACTTCTTATTAATAAGAAGTTATTTGCGGTTATTTGGATAACCATAAAGTGATACGATTTCCAAAACTTAGTTCTTCGGGCTCCAATTCAAGCCAGCTGGCCTTTACCATAAATCCCATACTATGTTCTCAGGCTGGTTTTGCTTATCCTTTTACTTGGGGTCCTGTTTCTTCAGTCATAATGGCTTGCATCAAGACTGTGCTTGCTTATGGTTTCGAGACTTAAATTTCGATGCTGTGGTAGCTTTTCTTCTTGTCCCGGGTCCATCCAAGTCCCATGGTGGAACCTCCCTTTGTGGGGTTTAGGAACTATGGCAACCAAAGTCTGAGTCAAGTAATTATGATGGCTTCCCAGGAGTAGATATATTTGAGTCAATCAAATTCCAGATATTAGGAGCATAGCATTAGTAGTTTGTATTTAAGCGAAGAACATTACTCTATAGTAAAATAAAATGTCATAGGGGAGATTAGCACTGTAGCACTGTCCTCCTGTTGTTCATCGATTTGCTCGAGCGGCCCCAGTAATGCCACTATTGTGAGACTTGTTGTTACTGTATTTGGCATATCGAATACGTCACAGGTAGCTTGTCAGGCTTTGTCATGAGGATGAGATACCCTTGGTAACTTGCCGGGCTTTCTGAGAGGGGCGGAGGAATCAAACCTGGAAGGGGAGATTGGTGAGTGGAAAATGCCACCAGATGGCAGGTTGTCATTGCAGCTCCATTGAAGGGGCAGCCCCCACTCCTGAACCCCTGTCATCCGCTCCATAGTAACCCCTCACATTGGGATAACACACCAGAGACTTTGAGGTCAAAATAGATCAATGGATGAGAACGCCTGTATGGGAAGCTGAGGATTGCCATTGAGTTTCTTTGAATTGTACCACAATTAATTCTTTTACCCCATGATTACTTCAGAATTTCCAGTGTTACAGAATTCAACTAATGAAACAACTGCCCATTCAGATGCTAGTAATGAACTTGAAGAAACAGATGGCAAGGGAAAACAAAATGGGGTCATCCTGGCCAGCTTCCATCTACAAATAAGCAACCTCTAAAATTTCCAGCAGAGAAGAGTAGAATTGATGCTGGAGATAGAGAAACAGGTTGTGGAAGAACTAATGGACACCCTCAACAGAATGGAGAAGGGGAGTCTGTCACATTATTGAAGTAGTAAATCTGGGGGAAAGTGCAATGCAGGTACTGTGAGAATAGAGACATTTTGAAATATGCAGAATGTAGAAATCATCAAAAAAATGACTGAAGAATTTGATGAGGACATTGGTGATTATCCCCTTACTATGCCTGGTTCTCAGTGGAAAAATATTCATTCAAACTTTTGTGAACTTATTGGCATCTTGATTCTACAGTGTCATATAGCATAATTTAAAATGAATATTTGATGGACACAATAGTCTACCTTTTGACTGGTTTGTCAGATTCCCTGGTCAGAGCTCTTAGGCATACAAGTACCCTTGCTGTCATGAAGCTCATGACTGAGCTGGTGAATGTTGCCTTAAATCTCAGTATTCATTTGATCATTGTATAACTGAAACCCAAGCACAAAAATGGGTAAGTCTGCAACTGTACCCCATGATGTCTCACTATTAAAAATTTTTAATAAAAAAATGATAAATAAAACAATCTCAGTCTTCATCAGGATAATACACAGATACACTATGAAGCTGAGAGGAATAAAATGATTGGAGAGGGGGCCCATAAAAGGTGAAGTTGCTGCTTCAGAAGCACAAAGAGCTGCCAGAAAATCAGGATTAAATTGAAAATATGATGAACTCTATTCTTAAGGGTATATTTGTTCATAGATACCATGATGCCATTATTGAGATTTGAGCCATTAGTATTGAAGAAATTGGAGTGTGGATAAAAATGTATAGTGATGCCTTCCTAAATGACATTTACCTAAAATATGTTGGCTGGATAGGCAAAGAGAAGTCAGGCTGAAAGTGTTTGAGAGCTCTACAGAATCTGTATACTGACCAACAATTATTCCCCAAATTGGAGCTGTTTACTAATTGTTTCAAAGATCATATTGTGTCAATGACACTTGATATGGAATATGATGTTGCTGTGGAAGCTATCCAATTGGTCACTTTGATAATTCATGGAAGTGAAAACACTCTTTCCAATGAAGACTGTGAAAATGTTTATCACTTGGTGTACTCAGCTCTGGGTTTTATAGTCTCTGAGTCTTGTTTTATAGCTCCTGGAAGCACGTGGCCATCTTATCATCTCATTCCTACTATGGACAAACTGGCAAGCTACCGAATGTAACCTGCCCACACGGCAGAGTCTGGCAAACTCCCCGTGGTGTACCCAATATGCCAAATATCAGTAATAATGAAGGGTCTCATTCTCTTAACTCTGAAAGAGCCTTGAATATGGCACTTTTTAAAAAAATCTCAGGGCTCGGACGAAGGAGACGTTACTGGGGCCTGCTTGAGGCAATCAACAAATAACAGGATGGTCGTGATCGTGATTGTACTCAGCTCATAGTCCCATTGCTGTAGCAGCTGGAGAATTCCTTCACAAAAACCTATTTAGCAGGCATGACCCACAGGCAGAAGAAGTACTAGTGAAGGAGAGGGGAAGGAACAATTCATAATGGGAATCTCATTAGGATGCTTGTATTTTCTTCCTTGAGAGTAAATTATACAAACATGCAGCCTACTTGGTGGACAGTTTGTGGGAGAGCTCAAGAACTCTTAACAAAAAATTATGACAGTGGGCCTGGAGCGATAGCACAGTGGGTTGGGCATTTGCCTTGCACGCAGATGACCCAGGTTCGATTCCCAGCATCCCATAGGTTCCCCCGAGCACCACAAGGAGTAATTCCTGAGTGCAGAGCCAGGAGTAACCCCTGTGCATCGCTGGGTGTGATCCAAAAAGAAAAAAAAAATCCTGACTTGCAAAAGTAAATAAATGAATAATAATAAATAAAATAAAATTCTGACAATGTATCTCTGCCAAAACCCCCACATCCTCTAGATACAGATTCCCATATTTTATATACTCTCGAATAAAGAGGTTTATTTTTATTTTAAGGGGGCATAAAGTAAGAAATAACTGCAGCCATTTTCCAACAGTTGCTGTACACATTCATTTTATATAGAATAGGAAGATTCTGAAACAGTACACTTTCTATTGGTAGTTGTCCTGTGCATTTTTAGCAAATTCTACCAGCAAATAAAGTATTCTCAGTAAAAAAAAAATGGTTCTCAAGTTATCAGTTTGCTATTCTTACCACTTATTTCAATGCCCTGCCAGAATCAACTTACAATATCTTTCTTAAAAAGGTAATCATGAATCCTTTGCCATCCAAAAGTTATTTTAGTGTAACATAACTATGTTTACTTTCCAGGCACTAAATCATGAATTTAGGTAATCATAAATTCTTTGCCATCCAAAAGTTATTTTCGTGTAATATAAGTGTGTCTACTTCCCAGTCACTAAATATCTTTCTGTGCTAATTTTGTAAATTAAGTTTTTCAATGCTAGAAGTATATGATGCATAAAAATCAGAACATTTTATAAAATTACTAAAATTTAAATCTTTTACTATGACTTAAAAAAATTAAGGATTCAATTAAAAATTTGAATATGAAGTTAAAAAAAAGATGCCAAACACCTTTTTCTTGAAATAAAACTAGTGGGGAAGGGGAAAAATCACAATCCACTGTGCTCAGGGACCACTCATGGCAGGGCTCAGGAGGTCTGGGATCAAACCTTTGTGTTGCTGGGATCAAACCCAGATTTTTGGCCAAATGCAAGGCAAACTCCTAACCAGCTGTATCATCTCTCTGGCCTGAAGCTAATTTATCTCTCAACTTCTTTATTTCATTATCTCTTTGACCTGAAAATAATTTTTTAGCAGAATATTTGTGTAAATTCTGAGCAAGATTCATCAAATGTACCTGGAGTATATGGCAGGGTCTACTTCATTAGCCAATATCTAATGCACTCACTCAGGAAGCTGCCTGACACTCTGGAAAAATGGAGAATTTTTTTTCAAAACTAAAAGAAGATGGGGGAAAACTAACTGAAAAGCAACAGGTTTCCAGTGTCCCTGGATAATGCCTCTTGGTTATTTATTTATTTATTTATTTAGTTTTTGGTGCCTTGTTCAGTAGTGTATAATCTCCAAGGGCGGCCAGGGGAGGTCCGGGCAGCTCTCCCCCCTCACTGCCTGGGTTGGTGGTGGTCTTTGGCCTCTCGCCCACCCGGGGCAGCCCAAGCCATTGAACAGACAGAGAAGGAAACGAGGGCCAAGCCGGTTGATTGATCAATTGCTGTTTTTTCCATTCTCCTCACGTACCTATTTCAGTCTCTCTGAGCCTCCCATTC